GGGTTCGATTCCTCAGCACCACATAAGCAAAAAGAAAAAAGCTGGAAGTGGCGCTGTGGCTCAAGTGGAAGAGCACTGGCCTTGAGCTGAAGAGCTGAGGGACAATGCTCAGGCTCAGAGTTCAGGCCCCACGACCGGACCAAAAAACAAAAAACTATGAGGGAAGCTCTGTGTGTGCGCACATGCATGTTTGTATGCTGATCCTTGAGCTTTCACCCAGGGCTGGGCACTGTCCCTGAACTTTTGTGCTCAAGGTTAGTATCCTATCACTTGAAACACAGCTCCACTTCCAGCTCTTTGTTGGTTTATTGGAGATAAGAGAGTCTGCCTGGCACCAGTGGCTTACGCCTGTAACCCTAGTTAGGAGGCTGAGATCTAAGGATCATGGTTCCAAGCCAGTCTATGCCGTAAAGTCTATGATGATCTTATCTCCAATTAAGCACCAGAAAACGAAGTGGTGGTGTGGCTCAAAGTGGCAGAGTACTAGCCTTCAGCCAAAAGAGCTCAGGAACAAGGTCCAGACCTGAATTCAAGGTGTAGGACTAGCACAAAGAGAAAAAAAAGTCTCACAGGCTTTTCTGTCTGGGCTGTCTTGAACTGTGATCCTCAGATCTCAGCTTCCTATGAAGCTAGGATTACAGGTATGAGCCACTGGCACTAGTTACATCATGCTCTTGCTTGGCTTTTTCCACATAAGACTGGTGCTCTACAACATGAGCCAGATCTCTACTTCCAGGGAGATGTTTTTTGACTCCACAATTCTGGTAGAGAGCATTCCCAAAATAACTTTTCTTCCATTGTGAGGTGTTATCATCTAATGACAATTACATAGAACACTGTAATAGAAAAGATTTCATGCATTTCCTAAAAATGACTATAGATGTGTGAGTGCTCCTGAAAGTGTTGACTGGCATAGAAAGATATATTCATGACCTATCAAATATGCAAGAGTACAACTTGCCTAAAATTACATACTGTCAAATTAGTATTACTAAAAACTCCCTTTACTAATTTTTCTAATAAGGCACCTTTAAAGGACAATCTTCAACACTGTCCCTTGCTGGGGTTTGAACTAAAGCCTTATTATGCTTGCAAGACAGGCAGGCACTCTACCATCTGAGCTACACAGTCTTCAAAGAGAAAATTTTTTTTCATCATTTCAATTATGTATCAATTATGAGAAAGGTTTCACCATGTTATTTCACACATACTATGTTATCCTTTAGTCACACTAGCCTCCTGTTTTCTTTTCTGTATTATATAACAGTTCCTTAGACTCCTTATGCAATTTTCATGCATAGACACAATACACTCCAAAATTATTCATACTCCATCACTCTATTTTTTTTTTTGGGGGGTCTAGTCGTGGGCCTGAACTCTGGGCCTGGGCGCTGTGCCTCAGCTCTTCAGCTCAAGGCTAGCGCTCTATCACTTGAGCCACAGTGCCACTTCCGGCTTTTTTTTCCTGCTTATATGGTACTGAGGAATCGAACCCAGGGCCTCATGCATGCAAAGCAAGCACTCTACCACTGAGCCACCTTCCCAGCCCCCTCCATCACTCTAAAGAGACAAATTTTAAGTGTCTTTCTCTTTTTCTTGGAATGAAAAATGGGAAAGGATTCTTAGTATACTACTTAGAACCTTCAAGGAAAATTGATGTTGTATTATAATGTACTATATACCTTCTGCAAGAGGCTAATTTCTCGTTTAACAGATCTTCATGGAAGTGACTTAAGTTTTATTTACATATGATTCTTTCATCAGTATATACCTCTTTTCATTGGGGTCCTAATCCATAGTCACTTTCAATTCTAAAAGCATACAGTTGGTCAGCCAGGCACTGGTGGCTCACACCTAAATCCTAGCTATTCAGGAGGCTGAGACCTGAGGATTATGGTTCAATCCAGTTGCAGCAGCAAAGTCCATGAGACTATCTCCAGTTAACTAGCAAAACAGCTGGAATAGAGGCATATCTCAAGTGGTAGAACACCAGATGTAAGCAAAAAAAGCTGAACCAGAATATGAGAACCTTGTTGGGCACCAGTGGCTCACACCTGTCATCTTAGCTACTCAGGAGACTGAGATCTGAGGAATGTGGTTCAAAGCCAGCCCGGGCAGTAAAGTCTGTGAGACTCTTCAATAAACCACTAGAACTAGAAGTGGTGCTGTGGCTCAAGTGGTAAAGCGCTCGCCTTGAGCTGAAGAGCACAGGGACGCCCCGGGGCCCAAGCTGAGTTCAAGCCCCACAACTGACCAAAAAAAAAAAAAAAAAAAGAACTTAATGTCTATATTCATATTAGGTATCCATCTCAAGAGCTGATATTTTTCATTCTTTTCCTTTTGACTCATGGATCTGAAAAGTTGGTTGACTGTGGATTAACTGTCTTGTTTTACTCTTTTAAACTAAGCTTCTTTGCTCAAGGCTAGCACTCTACCACTTGAG